TCCATCATCCCAGTACCGTGGTTCAGGTACATGTATGTAAACTTATGCTCGTGAAATGGCTGCTTATGTTTGACATTCACGGAGATCATTTTGCCCATCTTACTCTTGAGTCTCGGGTCTTTTTTAAACTCCGCTTATGGCTGAGAGATGGTGACGGTACAGGCGAGGTGTGCTTACACACGGTAAGAATAGAAATAATAACGCTGATGACTGATGCTATCTAGATCTTATTTTAGTATCTGGTTCTAGGTAGTATCATGTATAACATATCAAGTGTGGAGGGGTAGTTTTTGAGAGAGGATTTTGCATGTGCAGCTCGGCTCGGTGGCATGGGGTAAGGATACATGGAGAGAGGTCCGAAGGAAGGGAAGAGAACTTGAGTTGTTAGGTTGGTGATGTCAAGATAGAAAGATCGTCGTGTGAAATTAGATGTTATATTATGTTACGTTGGACGACAAGGACGGGTTCGTGTTGGTAAGGAAAGACATGGAGGCAGTGATATGCATGGAGATACGACGATCAGAAAGGAAACAAACTGTTCCCCTCGCAAAATATTCATAACACTGATAAGAACAATTGGAGTCTATGGAGATAATGACAACGACGAGTGACAAACGAACTAACAATGTCTCTGTTGAATTGTGATGAGCGTTGGGCCCAAAATACCCCCTCCGAGGCCCCCCCATATGTATTCTCAGACACGTTGACGTCAGACCGGAGCTGTTCACGTCAATGTCTTTCATATTTTCCTCAAACTGTTTGAAAGTCTCAGATGCGAGATCTATGTATAGTTACATAAATCCCCTGATTCTCAGCCTGTTGTTCGTAAATTTGTACCTCCCCATCAAGGCGGGCTGATTATGGTGATAAATATGTAATACCGCAGGTGAAAAAAATTCAGGAAATGCAAACGTTGTATCCATGAAATCCACAGGTGCTGATGTCCAATGATACATACAGAAACAAATTCAGGTTCAGGTTCAAAGTCAAGCAATCAAGCACTCGCCCGTCATCTTGCATGGATTATGTTAGGGTTAAACTCTGCTTCCACGTCCCAACGCTCCATAATGTGATTGGTGAGTGTATTGAGGCAGGCCCTGAGAACAGTACATTGCCGAAGCCAAGGCGATAAGTCGTAAATGCATAGAGTACCGATATGGTATCGGGATGTATTTTCAAAGTGGGTGTTCCAAGTCTCCAACGTGGACACAACACGGTGGACTCTTGCTGTGGTGCGAAGTAGATATTCGTGGGTAGAGTGTGAGAAGTCGGTTTGCGCAGCATTAAGGAAGAAAAATGATAAAATTGACTCTATTGCCTTTAGTATGGAATACAAAACTCTGTAAAGGTGTCTAGTCAGGAACTAGTGAGGAGCAAATCGATTATCGCAATTATAAAGGACGATCACCATTTAATAGCGATTGTGGAGAATAGATATCCATTAGCATCATTTATTAGCACACAGACAATTCGAATCGATTTCTCACGATCATATGACAAACCATCAAGCCTGTCGAGTCTGTTCTCCTGAATCCCGTGACTCGTGAGTCGTGAGTTCGTATTTGTTTGTCAAGGAGCCAGTGAGTGTGAGTGAGAATGAGGAGATGAGGAGAGTGAATAGATGGATTATCACGGATACAGCTTAGCCCCCCCCAAGGTCTATGCTATGATCCAGGGGTCAAGCACTACTAGAGTTAGCCTTGTAACAAGATTAATCTAGTGCCACGAAGTGTACTATCTATGTAGGGTCCCGTGGCTCCATACGGTCAGATCCTTAACCTATTTCTTCTTTTCTTTTTGTAAGCGTTGGAAAGAAAGCTGTCAGCGTGGTTTTGAGGTTCGCTCAAGCATCAAAACGTACATATGGCGATATCTGAACGATAGGGGTGCACAGATTAGATGCAAAGGAAATGCTGAAGGTCCACGGACTTTGAGGCGTATGAGACTCTGATAGGAACCATTGGAACGTCTCATGATGGGATTCTATGATACGGGTGTCGCATTGTTATAAAGGCCCAATTCGAGAAAGAGAAACAATTCTCGTAGCGAAAGTTTAGGAATAGAAACCGTATCAGTATTGGCGTTTACTTCTCTATAGAGGTTTTTGCTGTCAGCCTGTTGCTCTTGCTGTTTTGTTTCGTTTTGTATTGTATGCACCAATGCAGCACGATCGTGTGCGTGCTGTATGTACGTGCGTTGAAAGTGCTGTACGATTTGATGAAGCAAAGAGCAGAAAAAACGGTGATCGGCGTTATTTGATCACTTATGACGATGAGGTTGTATGTGTGGATTCCTCAAAGGAAGTGGGAGTTGGTTTGTGCTACTCTAGAAATTGAAGTATGATGATAATCCTCCCTACCAAGACACCAAGACTGACTCTGCATGTATAGATACCTGGGTATGAGGTAGGTAGAGATCTAAATCGCGGAGAGCATATCTATGCAAATGTGAATTTGAATCAATACGAAACAGTCAAACAAATGAATATGGCAAACAAAAACCGTTCAGCCTGTTTAGCCTTATGTTCAAGCGGTGTGGGATATAAACTATTGAATGCATGGTGATATGTAGAGAACTACTCTCAAGCTGCTCTAGTTCTAAAGAAAATGGTGTGGTCCAAGAAAGCGCCGGTCTCAGCCAGAAGATTCACCAATCAAAGCTTATTCAAGAATATTCTTCAGTACTTGGTAGGTAGTGAGGAGGTAGTTTGAGGAAGGGGCTAAAATTCTTCCTGGAGGAAGCTGGAAACCCTTGGTGATATGGGAGGATACGACATACCGACACAACTTAGCAATAGAGATCCTAGAAACATGCTCGAGTATTATTTGTTATATTCTATATCCGTATACTTGCAAAATCTCTTAAATAGTTCATGGGAATCAACCAGTCATAGAGTGGATATCGAATATGGATATCACACACTCCCATGAATCGTCGAACCAGGAGGAGGGAGGCGGGAGATGGATCGAGTAAGATGCTGTGGAGCGGGATGATATGTGGATGTATGTGATATCCAGTTGTGATTCTTTTTTTGTAGTTTGGTGGCTGGTGGTTGGCTGGTGGTTGGCTGGATGGTTGGACGACCGAATGGCTGGATAGCTGAATGGATGGAATACTCGCAATTCGTTCGGAATTCTAAAATCTAAAACGTAAATTCAAAAATCTAAAATCTAAAGCATAAATCGTAGTGGGATGGATGTGCCGCAAACGTCTGTATGTACGAAGTATAAGCCCACAGCTCACAGCCTACAAACGCTCGAGTGAGGATTCTTTGACTTTTGATTCAAATGGATTAATGATTATTCTCTTGATATTGTCGATATCATCGGTGTTCTCGATGTTATCGATTATTCAATTGGCTGATATGCGTGTACGGAGTATGAAATGGGAAAACTTGATGAGAGGAGAAGGAAAGAGAGAGGTAGCTAGGCGAGTATAGGTAGATATCCAAGAAACCCCCTTGCAAAGTATATCTGTCTACTCTATGCAGTAGATGGAGGATGAGGATGAGGACGAGGACGAGGATGAGGATGACTATGATAAGTACGAGTTTGTACACAACACACTCAATTGGCAATATCAACCCCCTCCTCCCTGCCCCCATCCCAGACTACAGGACAGGCATATTTGACGATTGGATTTGGTGTCTACTCTATCATCTTGCATGAACAACAACCACGCAACACTCAATCTAAGAAAACTTGAAATATAGTATTATTTTTGCTTTTTCCTTGCCTCTTTTCTAGCTCGATTGGTCTCCCTCCTTGACTTACAAGTTGCCAACATTCATCATCCAGTTTTCTACGATAAATTACGGACGGTACAGATCTAAACACTCATCCGCGTCTATATATATATGATGTGCAAATACTTTTCAGAAGCTAAGCAGGAAGTCAAAATATCACCTCATTATAACCTCAGCAGATCAATTCAAGACTTACTTGGGGTTAGACATATTTTTTGCATGTTAAGTAGAGCCTAGTTGCTACTTGCATTGCCTATCATTATCATAACATTCTCATTGTCACGGCTCTCCGTCTCTGTCGACTCCAATTTTATAAAGATTCAATTACCCCATCTTTGAGAAGAAATTTTAATTTAGAAAATCCTTTTGTGTGCTCTTGAATTTATATCTATCTTATCCTCCTCCTCTGACGGTATTACCTTGGTCGGATATTCAATTGCAAAACCCATGCCTCGCAACTTTTCAAGCCTACTCCCTATATACACCTCTTCATATATACACCTCTCCTAAAATTCTACCTACATACATACATACATCATCACTCGACACACTTCATTAGAGTACTTCGTACAATATCAAATACTCGCCATAGAAATATATTATCGAAGTTCACCCAAAGTCTTTTTCCGGGACCTCGACATTACCGCCCCATTAATTATTAAAAAAGAATTTCCAGTTATCCTTTTTTTTTTCTTGGTCTCCCCCGCGTTGGCCGCCAATTACATATCGAGGTTTCGCTTTTTGCGAAAGGACATAAACTTGAAACGATGTACGTTCTCAACTACCACCCAAGACCAGGTATAACCACTGGTCTTCCCTCCTAACACAATTTTAATGATAAGAGAAGCCTTCATCTGACTGGACTTTCACATATAGCTTGACATATCCCAGATAGACAGACTTGCATATCTTTTATTCCGATACTACTACAAGTTTCACACGTATACACATACATACACGCTCATACATATCCATTACTTAAATTTACTTGACTCTCCTGCCAATTTTATTATATAAAGCTTGCATGGTATTAAAGTATTCAAAGGTCAACGAACCATTGAACTATCCCTATCCTTTCATATCTCCTCAACGCATCGACCTAGCTGTCTACCCTACCTCGTCTATTCAAAAGTACCAGGGACGAGGACCCACAGAAGTACTTTATATCCTGGACGAATAAGGATATTTCGTGCCGAATAATAGAGACGTTTGATTCGTTTTAATAATTTAGTCCCTTTATTTTCCCGAAGTCGACATGCCTCTTATGAAGAACTTGTTCCCATCTAGGGAATTGGAAATCGAAAGACCAAACTCGAGAGCTTCACAACCCTCAAATTTTGCAAACTTCGAATACGACGACGATTCAAATCTTGACAGCGAGATGGAAGCCACAGTAATGAATAGGCCAAGGCTAAAGAAGAAGCCTAGCATGCCTAAAGTACCTACTATACCCCAGAGAAACAGCAAAAGAACTTCCAAGATAATTAACAATGTCATGTCGGAATTGAAGTGTCTGGATGGGTTTAAAGCTACCAAAGAAGTGGTGGAAGAAAAAGAATCCGAAATATCAGATCCCCACGAATTATACCTTTCGAGCGAAGAAGATGCCTCACTTTCGGACACAGACTCGCTGCTCGATTTCGAAGCTACTCCTCCATCTGATTATGATGCTTCTCGAAGCTCCTCCCGTGCGTCTGCTCAAGTTACTGCGAGAGTTGTCTCCTTTACTCTTGTGTCAAGACCACGAGTTATAGAAATCCCCCGCCCGAACAGCTTTCACTCGAATCCCACGTCTCGTAACGTTTCTCCTGTGGCAGACTATCAAATTCGTCATTCAGTCGCAGATATCGCATCATTAGCACCACTCCCTTCGCCACACCCACCACGCCGAAGCTCTAGACAGAACTCACCACTGCGAAACTCCGCTCGTCGCCTCTCCATCTCCTCTCTTGGTTCCCTCTCCAAACTCAACACAAATCATCCCAATGCCTCCAGCGCAACCCTTTCGCAACAACCCTCTAAACTCAATTCCAGCACGACCTTCCTACAACCCACCTCTGCCGCCTCGAATTCCTCTCCACAGCACGCTTTTCTCTCCTCAGATCCATTCCCCTCGCCCACACCATCTCCACGAACCGATACTCTTCCAGTCCTCCCCGAACCAGAGCAAAGCTTCCAATCTCGTCGCCCTAAATCAATGCATCATGAACGACCCAAAACACCCAATAGTCTCATGGAAGGGCTCCAAGGGCTCACCCGCTCCTTCACCAAGAAGCGTCCCAGTATGCCGAAACTAAATTTGTCATACACTACTAGTTCTGTGGCACCCACTCACAGCAACACTTCAAAATCATCCTTAACCCACAGCAATGCGTCTAAAACTAGCTTGCTCACAGTTGAAGAGCGAACACCTAAAGATAGCAAATTCGGAAGTATGAAGAGATCCTCCACAGCACCTTTATATGTGCACGAAGAAAGGGAAAAGACAAAGAAGACACAGGAAACACAATCGGCAATCGATGAGAGGGCACCTGTCAGATATGAAGATATCATGAAGAATGTCATCCGCGAGGCCCCGCCAAGACCTCCAATTAACTTCGCAAAGTACAAGTAGTCCCGGGCTTAAAGGGCTGGATGGGCATGGGGATGGGAAACAGAGAAAGAGTGTTAAGAAATAGACACTTGAATTCCTCATCTACTACTTTTTTTATTTGTTATTATTTTATTTGTCCTTTCGACACCATGATACGCTCTACTCTACGATACGATCTTCAGATTCGTACTCTCGTTCGTCCATAACATCAAATTGGACGATCTCTTTTTTTTTGGACACCAGGAGTTTTTGGGAAGGGATACCGGTACAACACAATGACCGCTACGGAGGCTATCTAACTATCTTGCTATTTGGTTTTTTTTATTTGTTTTCCGCAAGGCGTTTAAGGTTGGGATTTTGGCAGGAAATACCTTTGCTTCTTACTACTTTACTATCTCTGCCAGCGCGCATTGCATATGTTTACAATATCTCGTTACTGTTTATTATATTACAGTTGATCGATCGATCTTTTTTTTGGATGGATTCTGGTGTTGGGGAGGCAAAATCCTAGATGGAAATGTGTAATTTTTACTCGGGCTGGATAAAGTCCCAGAGACTTTGGGAAGGAAGGAAGGAAGGAAGGAAGAAGGAAGAAGGGAGGAGAGAGATGCATGAGTTGAGATGCGATGAGATGAGATGAAATGGAATTAGCATAGCATAGTACAGCATAGCAAAGGAGTAGTATGACAATTTACAACTGCCATTCAATTATTGAATCGAGCAAGTTTTTTTTCACCCATGATCATCGTTCCTTTGACCTATTCCATCTACATTTGAGAAAATCCCACGAAATTTTCCGGTCCACGTGGTACAGATATACAAACAAGCATGCTTAAAACATCACGACGCCGTCAACACCCAAGGAGATACGGACCGCAACTTCGGACATCCGGTCGGTGGTCAGCTCGAGGAACATCGAACAAAAGTCACACGAAAGCGAACACAACCCCACGCTCTCAAGGCATACTGCAACTACCACTGCAACTGCATATCCAACCCGATTTTCCTCGAAATCTTCGGAGAATTTGGTTCTCGTGTTGTGTTTCTTTATGTCTGTGGATTTATGTACTTAATACTCGTACAGCATGTATGTACCGGTACAACATTATGTCATGTCATGTCATCCTCTTCTCCGGTGAAGATATTCCTCTATGCATTCCTATGATTATATATATATACATATATATATATAATCTGGCACAACACGGGTTTTTTTATAGATTTTTTTTTTTCCTTCTCGAAATCATGTAAGTACGTAGATAGTACGACCCCCGTCCCAACGCTTTTGCATCATGTGTCTCAGAATTTGAGTGATACATACATACTTCTATGCATGCTCTGCATGCTGTGTGTGGGTGTGTGTACTATGTAGGTACTATGTAGGTACTTCAAACCCACGCCTCCATCTTACCCAACCAACCATTCGGAACTTGGTGTTTGATCTCATGTCAGCTCCTCTCATCTCCTTCTACTCCTTCTAATCTCAACTTGTCTCCCAGCTTCCATCTTCCATCTTCCATCTTCCATCTCTCCATCCATTCTCGCGACTCGGGGTTACACACCCTCCCAGCATACCCATGTAAGTATATCAAACCCTCAATTCCATCCATCTCCTTTGCAAAGAGAAAGGAAATCTCATCATCCCGAATCGCCACCCCCCATTATCCATTGCATTCAAAAACACAAATGCCAACCCTTCCAATACCTCATTCTTAACCCCCAAACCCTACATTCATAATTTCCTCGATATTACCACACAGACCAAACACGGTATTGTTCTTAAACTACTCGCGCACGTTCTCTTTTTCTCTCTGGCACTAAAACGAGATTCCCCCAGTCAGGTAGTTAACAAGGTACATACTATCTCTACTCTATACAAGCAAAGTTATGTAAATGGCAAACAAACGAATATAACTGGACACCCATAGTAAAATGAGCGAGGACGAGAAATATATCTCCGCATCCTATTCCGCCAATCACAGACGTCTCTCGTTTTCGTGAACGGAATGTTCGCTAGTTTCAGGTATATGGATGAAATCCCCTGGTAATAATGTGGGGAGCAGCTATTATTAACGAGTGAGCGAGTATGGTTTGCTTACATATCTGCATGTAAGCTCACATCTCTCAAGGTATCTCTCTCTCTATGGAGAAATAAACCTCCCTTTTAAGTGGAGCGCTCGAAACCGACATCTCAAATCTCAAGTCTCCTAAATAGAAATAGGCGCCTCACTCGGAGAATAAAATGGGAAGCCTCTCCTCCCTTATTTAAAATTTTTCGTCCGATCTTTAATATGATGTGCATCTACGCGTCAATATATCGCAAGAATTTACCGCTTCAAGTCTAGTTGCCCGACTTAGGGTTATGGGGACCTTTTCTTCACCGACGGAACGCAATATACCTGAAGCGTGATGTACCCCAGGATTCAGGGATGGCGACGGAATTAGACGTCTGACAGTCAGGAGATTTGGGTGCTTCTTCCAGAAGGGTTTCTCCCAGTCCCAGCATCGTGTCCCACTGTTCAACGGTCCATGTGGGTGATCGTATGGTATGCGGGTGATGTGATGGGTTGGTTTATCGTATGCTGGCCATGCACCCTTGCGATGCTGGGTGGATCGGAGTGCGATATGAAATAACAGATCGGACTCTGAACCACAGAGCCACCCATCTTAAAGTTTAACTTAAATAGCATGCGTCATGTCTATGCAGGTATTATGCTCGTACGAAAAGATAATGTCTAATTTTTCTGAAACAGTCGTCGATGGCGAAATTGGGAAGCCGTGGATCTGAGATCTGTCTGAGATGGAATTTCGGATCATGGCTATGTGGCGTTGGAATCAGGGGTGTGAGATATGCCGAGCTGTGTAGCACGGTTGCGTTGGAGATTTGACGTTGCCGCACTTACCATATGTCCCTCAATTAGTTCATTGAAAGAGGGGTTTCGTGAAGTGTTAGTCAAGACCTCATTACCTTTGTGAGGGAATTCCTCAGATTCTAAAGCCTTCCAACACCACAAGCGGGGATCCGAATTTGAACCTTTTCACCCGGAATCCGTGGTCCGGCCGGTCGGAAATGTTGACATGGCTTCATTATGCTCCGGAGGGCGGACAACATCTTGATATATTGCTGGGGGATGCTCAAGTCTGGAGTAAATCTACTCATTCCTATATATGAGAGGAGGAAGTATATGACATGCTACATGTGCTATAGGGAGTAGTTTTCCCTCTGTTTGGCGATCCGCTGTAGAGCGGAAGAAGTTAAGTGACATACTCTAGACTTAAGTCCAACACACAATGTAAAGAAACCTTCGTGCTTGTTCGACAACCTGCTCGAACAGTCATTCGTTCTCATGGCATGCTAGAATATTTCCGGGTCTCATCTTCTGCTTGGGAGGAAGTTATTGATGTGCTGAATATCAAGCTTGAGTTTCCTTCCATCGGATTTCTTGATGGCGATGAAGGTGACTTTGGTAGTTTGGCGATGAGAGAATACATGTTCAAGATACTTCTACCAAATCTGTCAGATATCACGACACTGCTCACTGATCAATAGCCAATCTCACAGATAATACAACCCGAGGATCTTTTTGCATCCATTTACCCCCTTCTATCAACAGGATTATTTCCTTCGCTCACTCTTGAGAAATGAATTCAGAACTTTACACGGTCAGACTCTTCTATTCGTTTATGATCTGGCAATACGGAACCTGATCGAAATACTAAATTGCACTTTAGACTACTTACCCTCGGCCATGAACTCTGTTGCCAGATCCGCAATTGTATATAATGAAGCATAAGGATATCCTCCCGATAAGCCTGGAAATATGCTGACATTTATGACTTTTCATCTTCGAACACTCTTGACATATATATTGATATCGAATATTCTCCTTATTACACAAATTCCAGCCATAGGAAAATACGGATTTCACATAATACAAATCTGATCTTCGATCTTTTTATCACTACTTTCCACGATCAAAGTTTCTAGTCCTGAAGAAGAACTAACCTCAGTTTTTACAAAGTCTTGAATTGTAGTCCAAGTAAGACATTGCAGTAGTCAACGAGTTCCATATACTAAAATTGCGCGGTCGGTTGCTATAGAAAAGCAACCACCGGTAAGTTTTGAAAGAAGATTGAGTGATGCAGACGACATTTCAATGGAACCTCAAGATGTCGAAAGCGTAAGCATGATTGAGGTTCCAATGAAGCTGTCATCAACGGGTATGCTAGGTGCAAGTGAGTTGTGTGATATCATAATTTGAATATATATCCTACCAGCTTCATCCAATTTCATCACATCTAGAAGCTCTCTATCTTCAGGAAGAGTTTTCTCGAGGGTCTCGATAGGCAAAGCTGTGTTGACAATCCAATCGACATACATGCCCATAAAAAAAACGCAGCACCCTAAAATTAGAATGCCCAAGAGAAGGCCCACGCTTTGAATTATATAGTTTAAATATTTGGGAAAATTGAAGGTGCTTAAGGAGGTTTTGATCAATCACTAATAAATCCAAAACCATTGGAATAGAATGGCAAATAAGTACTAAAACCAATTCTACTCTGGAAAGTTGAAGCAATTGTAGCAAGCCTACAGCACCAACGAGCCCACCCGCCATCATGGAGGAGCACGCTTCAGCCACCTGATGTTCTTCCTGCAAGAAGTGCAACAACGCGGTTATCGAGTGCAGGATCAGGTGCCGTCTTACAACCCTAACCAAATTCAGATCCAGGAAGAACAACCCCTTCTCTTAAGCAAACTGTTCAAGGTTGGATTTGATGTAGGATCCACTCAGTTTCGAGAACAAGGATGGAGGACGACGGACCTGAACTCTGTGCGAGGCAACTGGTAAGCACACAGCCTGCAAGACTGCCACCGATAATAATGCAATTTGATTCTGTAGGGTATCCATAATCCAGAATTTATGATACGACACAAAGAATTACTAGCTAAAGAAGAAACAGAGAATTCGTGAAAGTGTATAAAGCATATCTCAGCTAGAAGCTCAAAATTTGACGCATGTGATCATCCTCGGTAAGCAATGGGGTGGGTATTATTACCCCCCTTTGAGGTTGTTGCTGAGGCTCCAAAGACGATTCCCCTCCTGCAGTTGTAAATTGATGTCAATTCTATTGATACCAACTGTTGGTCTTACTATGTTTCGGAGCGTAGCGAAAGAAACTTATGCGTCGGATTTCACGGAATTTTTATATAGCATATATTAACCATATTTTCTATACTCAGGAATTCAATTTGTATATTGCTATGTGATTTGTATATAGATAATTATATTATGAGTTCAATTATATAAAGTATTGAAAGGAAAAAACCTTTAAAAATAAAGAATAAGTTTTATTTTCAGTCTTTAACTCATTTTTCTTTATCAAAACTATATTCTATATCTACGCTTAATAGGTTGGGAATAGTAGGCGCTCCGAAATACTGGCGAGCTGCCTCGCCCCGAATCCAATCTGCATAAATACTTTGTGCATGAAACGATTCGATACCATAGGGTTTCTTAATACCTCGAGTTATGTTTATTGACGAATACTAGCTAGTCTTCATATATCTTTCATGAAGTGAATTACAATAGCCATGTTTGCCCCAGCTCACTGTATTGCCTGCTCAATGTGCGTCAAAAGGGTCAATGAAGGTAAGTCACGTTTGATCATCCAAGTAGACCTTGAATTCATCTTTTGGGCAAATATGTTCAGTAGCATATTTGATAGCTCTTGTGACTCCAAATACTCGTGATACCAGAAAGTATACAACTTTGATGCTAGATGCATTTATCACAAAATAATAAACTACAAAAGGACTAACCTGGTTTTCATAGCACCGGGATTACATACTTTCTGACTGCACGAGTAAACGGTTGGGATAAGCTTCACCTGAAGGTCTATCAAAGCGTGGGACGGATAGGATATCCACCACGTGACACTACCCCACCCACACCTTTTTTCCCCCCCGAACTTGCACGTGATCCGCCCCCAAAACTTCGAGAGACAAAATATCAAAAGTGTCAAAAATGCAAAAGTACTCGCATGAGATCAGAACTCTCTGACGGGGAGTCGAACCCCGGTCTCCCGCGCTTTGTCATATGATGACAAGCGGAAATCATGACCGTTAGACCATCAAAGATGTTGTTATTGTTGAAGGAGCAATGCTTTTTCAAATATATATCCCACTGAAAGTGGGGCAGATGTGAGAAAAAACCATGACTAGTGCGTTCAGACCCCGCGGCGATGATATGCCAAGGCGTAGAGAGATGTTGGCTGTTATCGCCGAAGAGACTACATAGGATGTAAAAAAGAATGAACCTACAAGTAGTTCTAGAGCGGCTAACCTGGAATTGCAGTACTGATGGTAAGAGGTAATAACAATCTGGCCAAAGATAGCTTGGTCTCAGTGGTGACAACACATAACAGGGGCCCGGATCATTGAGTGCAACTCAATACATAGATGTTTAGCATTGACAGCTCCAAGATATCGAAGGTAGAATCCAATATGAACTTCTCGAGAAACATCGACATGGCCATAAACAACAAATATCAGGAAGCGATGGGTTGCAGTGACTCCTGGGTTCAAAAGATGGCGAGTTCCAGGACAGTGGCCGAGTTCTCTGAGTGCAGGTGTACACATTGCAGGCCAAACATCAAGTCTTTGAACTCAAAGTTGTATTGTGAGAGGGTCAACAGGAGGAAGCCACACGAGACTTGATTATAGTCTCATTCATATCCAGAATCTGATTCCTTGACATCGTCATCACGGCCAAGAGATGCAGTCTTCAATACATGTCGATGGTAATAGAATTGAGTGTATGAAATCGTGATTTTGGAATTTATGCTAGGTAGTCAAAGTAGAGACATGAATAGTAAAACTTGTTATGATAATGACAATCCTGATGATCGTCCTTTAGGAATCATATGTAGTACCTCGACATTAATCTCCTAATAATGAGTGATTGTTAGGTGGTGGAAGATAATAGACTTGATGATCAATAAGGTCCCCACTATTACATTTGAGAGAACAATATGACGCTAGCGCATATTCGGATTGGCTCGTATAGCTCAACTGGGAAAGCTTACTGTGGCCTCAGGCCTCATAAACGAAATTCGCTAAACGAATTTCTCCCACAAGTTTTTTTCGAACAAAATTAAGTTCGAAGAACATCAACACCTTTCCGACAACCAACGACAACCACGACACAGGTCATCAATTCGTCGAGATGGCTTCCAGACCTACCGTTTCCGTTTTGTCTGCCGATGGCAAGGCCACCGGCGCCACTATCCCCCTCCCAAAGGTACGGATACCTCGATGCGAAATATTCAATATCGATTTGGTGGAATTTGGCTACTAAATATGGAACATTTGGAGGATTGAAACTGACGGCAATTGAAAATTAGGTCTTCACCTCCCCAATCAGACCTGATATCGTTCAGACCGTCCACACTGGAATGGCCAAGAACAAGCGTCAACCATACGCTGTGAGCGAGAAGGCTGGTCACCAAACCTCTGCTGAGTCCTGGGGTACCGGTTAGTGCGAACATTTGATAAATTATGGACGATTTGAGCAATGGATAGAGTTGGGAGGAATGCGCGCGAGAATTTGAAGGGCAAAATTTTTACATTGGGAAGAAGGGCTCAAGCTAATTGTGGTATCTACTCAGGTCGTGCTGTTGCCCGTATTCCTCGTGTCTCTGGTGGTGGAACCCACCGTGCTGGTCAAGCTGCTTTCGGTAACATGTGCAGATCTGGACGCATGTTCGCTCCTACCAAGGTCTGGAGAAAGTGGCACCAAAAGATCAACCTTGGACAAAAGTGAGAATTTGCTTTTCAAAATTTTCCTAGGCTTTGACTAATTTTCTACAGGCGATTCGCAACCGTTTCTGCCCTCGCTGCCTCCGGTGTCCCAGCTCTCCTCTTCGCCCGTGGTCACCAAATCTCCGAAGTCGCTGAAGTTCCTCTCGTTATCAACTCCGAGGTCTTCGAGGGTGCCAAGATCGCACGCACTTCCGCCGCTGCTGGTCTCCTCAAGACTGTCGGTGCTTTGGCCGATGTTGAGAAGGTCAAGGGATCCCGAAAGCTCCGTGCCGGTAAGGGTAAACTCAGAGGCCGCCGTCACAGACAAAGACGTGGACCTCTCGTTGTCTATGACGGAAACGCTGACGGAAAGGAACTTGTCCGTGCTTTCCGTAACCTCCCAGGTGTTGAGACCTGTGATGTTTTCTCCTTGAACTTGTTGCAGTTGGCACCAGGTGGACATCTCGGACGTTTCATCATCTGGTCTTCAGCTGCCTTCAAGGCTCTTGACAACATCTACGGTACCACCACCGCCCCATCTGCCCTCAAGAAGGACTTCCTCCTCCCATCCAACGTTGTCTCCCAAGCCGATATTGGACGTCTCATCAACTCCTCCGAATTGCAATCCGTTATCCGTGCTGCTAGAGGATCCGCACTCACCAAGCGTGCTGGTGTTCAAAAGAAGAACCCCTTGCTCAACAAGCAAGTTCTCTTGAGATTGAACCCATACGCTGCCGGATACTCCAAGGAGAAGATCGGTACCAAGGGATTGGATGCTGGTAAGCCAGAGCGTATTAACAAGACTCAATACGCTCAGGTCTTGAAGGAGGATTAAGCGTTTGTATTTCTGTTTTCAAATTTTCAACGAGGGATGGGACATTGTAGGCGCTTATGATAGCTTGATGGCTTCAAGCGGGGTCGACATAAGTAATGAAAAATATTACGAATGCCTGAATCAAAATAATGACACCTTTATTCCTCTTGACTGACACTCTTACTGTGATATATGTAATCAATTTTGTCAAACACCGTTGTCAAGATTTTTGTGAGCAAGCGCACAGGAATATATGATCTAGAAATTCTTCTCTTGTGACTTTCCTAAACTTCTACGCGAGTGGGACTGATGTTTCAATCAAGAATGAGAGCGATTAGAGTAACATGCTTTCGCCCTTAGCAGCCGCCTGCGCTCCACGTAAAACAAAATTTCGAGTGTCTTTCTACAATCTCTCCCCTTTCACTCATCTTTATCCTACATTTCTCCAATAATTCTTCTTATCAATCTTCTCCTTCCAGTAAAATCGCATATCTTGATATCACTTGCCCTACTGCCCGTTCTATAACTATAATCAAATATCATAGCTAGATAGATAGGGGTTTATATATGTATAGTATAGTCTACTATCAAATTAGGCCAATACACTCCTCTTCCCTTCCTATTCACTGAGCTCGTCGTACCCACTGACTCTACTGCAATCCATTCATGAAATACAAGCCGCTCTCTCTGTCACAAGTACTTGGGTATATTCTATCACTGTAGACCCTGAATTGAATTGAATAATTGCTTTTGTCATAATGATCTATCAGAAGAGTTGGGTTTGTGTGTAAATAAGCCCCTTAAGTTGGCAAATACTGCATCTCCTCATGATCCAGAGAGCGATATGAAATCGCTCTCTATGAAATTGTACCACTCAGACCCTAAGCCACGATGCCTCCAGATCCTTTAACCTCACCTCTCTGCTCCTTTCCTATTCTCTATTCAATCAGCTAGATTCCGAAAACATAAACTCATTGGAACTAGTTTCTCCTACTTCGAATGAGTCTCCACATCCGCACTGTCCTGTTTTGCCTTGGCCTGTATCGCTCTAAACTTGGACAAAATTGCTCTTTTCCTCCAATCTTCTGCGATTATTTTGCTGTGATTACTCTCGGCCGGTTGAAAGTTATCTTCTATATAACTTTCTTCGCAACTCCGGCCAAGTCTTTTGACTGCTTGAAGAAGTTTATTATCAATTCTTGAAGTCAACGCCGATGCTGTTAATGTAGCGTGTCCTCGACAGGCGGTCAATTCTGTCCTATCATCAATCTGATTTTGAACTTTTCGAATTCCTTCCAGCCATTGCTTGAATAGTGGGAGAAATCTTTGTGGTATTTGTCTAGCGTAAAGCGTTCCATGGTATTCCACAATACTCTCCACTCGGAATATTCCACCACAACGTTCGTCCATTTCCAACAAAGCTTGAACTTCCTCCCGAGAAATTCCAAATATAGCGTCGAAAATCAGACCAAAGTTCAAGTCCTTATACTCTGTGACTTGTTTGATTGATATTAACAGATCAAGTTTGTGGGCATTCCTGTTTCGAGACTCTGAGATCGCTGGCCATAACTCCTTCCAATAATTCTTCTTTCCGTTTCTTGATAGTCTGAAAAGCAATTGTTGGGCCTTGAGAAACTCTCCCATATTCATTTCCTGTTTTTCCTTCTCCCATGTTGTCCTCATTTCCTCAGAGTCTTGTTCGAGTATCTCAAGCATCGTTTCCAGTTTCTTATTCTGCTCTTTGAGTGGCTCAAGCATCGTTTCCAATTTCTTAAGGCGCTCTTTGAGTGTCTCAAGCATCGTTTCCAATTTCTCATGGTGCTCTCCGAGTGGCTCAATCATTGTTCTCGTTTTTGAATGTCCCTCTTCGTCTAGGTCGAACAACCTTTTGTTTTGACGATCGTAAGGCTTTGAAATACTGGTGATGAGCGATTCACCAGAGTGTTTGTCGATGTGCTTATCCCATTCTTGAGCTGGAAAGAGTGTCTGTTCTTGATACTCAAGGGGTAAAGGTCGCTTGGAATTGTTCTGAAATAGTTATTAGTATGGGGCTGGTATGAAATAGAATTCAATCAACGATTATGATGGCAATATGTCAGTGGTGATATATGGCTGATGAGGGGATGATATAGAAAGAGTGTAATGCAGAGTAGTGATATATGAAGATGAAACAGGGAAAGACTGGGAATAGAGTAAGGTGTACCTTGCTTGGTATCTCATTATTCACATCAATAGTAAAGAACCTCGTAGTCAAAAGAGAAGCCCCTAGGTGGGATGGTTGGTGAGGATTCTGGATACTCCATTGTGACAATTTTGACCGAGAGACGAAATTGCAGAAACGATGCATTTTCGAATAGGATGGTCAGTCAAAAATGGGCGCGGATGGTTTTGGCTACAATGAACTATCGAGTTCTTGAATGAATAGTGAGAACTTTGATAGCTGTTTTTGATGGAGGCATAGATGGCGAGTGTGTCGTAGTGTTGGATGAATAAGTTTGGTGGTGTATGTGTATGTGAGTGTGTGATTTGTGTTTATATTTGTGTTGTATTTCCAGCAAACTCCCAGCTTTAAGAATTGTAATCAGGGTCGCTTCTCCACAAACTAGTACATAACCTTCTCGAGCTTGCCGTACGGAGAATTACAAGACAGATTAGATTCTAACCATCTACCTGTATGAATCTTCTGGATTCCTTGAAAGTCTGTTGATGATTCTTTCACTGTTAATTCACTATGAGATATTGTTCTAGATACCTCCAGCTATGAGAATAAGTAAAGATCCGAATCTGGAACCTGTTTTAATATGCCATTCATAAAAGATATGCCGGAGCCGCCCTTGTCCAATACCTGAGAAATAACCATATGGTGGTAGGGGTGCATATGCAGTACAATGCAGGAGGGGTTTGATGAACCCCAGTCTGTGTATTAGATAATCACGTGGTAGTTCACGAAAAGCATGATCGGGCTTATATGTATGACTTGCTCCTTTGTTTGATGACAATACTCTCCCCAGCCTAGACTATTAAGGATTCAGCTGGATCTGTCGGTAAATTTCTCGGCCTCCAGAGTGTAATGTCAAGCACGGTCTTTTCTTTTCTCAGGGAAGATCTCTTTGGCATCACTGCAAGTGATGCACAAAACTCTCGTCAAGCCGCCTACCGCGCTGTTCGCCTAACCTTCTTCCGCATTCTTCTCTTCGACATCATTCTTATCCTTCTCTTAGGTCTAAACACCCCTGTACTCACAGCGCCAATGTTAATGCTCCCCCCTTTTTGTCGCCACAAAACTAGCTCTCATTCCTACTCTCGCAAGTCTTATAAATGCCTGCATTTAAGTATTCACCTTCACGGCTGCAAACTCAAATTTGTCCTTCGCAACTCGGACACTATACTCCCTCTCTATCGAACACAATGCCGCTTCCATTTTCTCTTGCACTGATGCCCGCGGGGTGCCGGTATATGCACTTGGACCAAGTCCTGCTCTTTCACCATTGCATCCACATCCCTTCACATCAGCGGTTTTCAGACATTCCTATATTTCATAAGCCGTGAGAAAATTGAATTCCTCATCCGCCTCCATGATTTCCCTTCAGAATACTGATTTTAACACAAAATCAACTTAGTGGTAACCATATTTAGCATCTTAACCTGCATTAGTATACTAGTAAGCCACATCTACTTCATCTGCGCCCGCCAAGCTCAAAATATTTCTGACACCCAACTCGTATACACTTCTCGCTTCCGTCTCAAAGGTTCTTTCTGCGCTCTAATATTTTGCTGTTTGATAACGCGCTTCATGGATTTTCCGCGGTTTTCTCAGAAAGTGCACAAATATCGTATATACCCAAAGGCAATCTACAAATAGTTTACTATACAAATAATCGATCAAGAATGTTGCTCCAGAGGTATCCACAAGGCTAATTGCCTGCTCTGCAGATGCCCATTGCGCAGCCTATTCAAGGAAGCATTAATACCTAAATTCAAATTCGTGTCTCAGCATTGTATACTTAAAGGAGAACCACTACGGTTACAGCTTTTCAGCACACATTATCAAGCTTGATATGAATAGCGTCTTCAACAAACTTCGAAAGTTCTGGAATTACTGTTTCAAATCGCTTCCATCAAAGCATGAAAGCACTTATTGCCATTCTCGGCAGCTTGGTAGCACAATTCTCAAGATCGTTCATATGAAATTTAGACTCGTGTGTGGATATTTTGCAATCGGAGTTGGAGGTATGCCTTGTGTATTGGCGAAGCGAATCCCTCCGACATATTTCCCAAATATCCCTAGATAATGATATGAGTGCGCAAACTCCAGAGCATTTAAACTAGGTCGGTAGACCATGCTTTCTGTTGCAGATTCACGGTTCATTTCTTTGTCCGTAAGTGAATCTTGTTCTCACAACAAAGGAAGTGAAGAGAAGTACTGAACAATGCATTCTCTCTTGTGGGACAACAAAGCGGATATAGAATGCAAAGGAATATGAAGAACAGTCCAAAGTATTCATCAATGTAGGAATATTGCCAGAACAACTCAACGAGGATGTCTATAAATGCAGTCTTATTATCCATCATATGTCTCCCCATTCACTCCAGTTCAAACTTATCAACACTACAACATCAAATCTTCCAGCAACGCCTACCAAAGCTTCAACATCATCTTTAGCATCATTCTTCATAACAGGAAAGATCCAATCAACCAGCAAGATGTGTATTCACAAGCGCATGATCTTCATTCAGTGCGGCCACACCCGCTGGGGTACTGAAGTAAAAGCCTGTAACCAAAAACTTGCCTTTGACACATCGCCAACCACATCCATTGATTGCGACACAATGTATTCTCACCCAATGCATACTGTCAAAATCACCGAGGTGTGCAAGTCATGTGAGATTAAGAGAAGTAAAACAGATAGGACCGCCGAAAAGTTGAAGCAGGCGTTGAAAGACATCAGAGAGAGTGTCGCGAGAATGGAGAAGATGCAAAAAGTGGTTGAGACCGCAAAGAAAGCAGAAGTTGACACTGATGATGATGAAGATTTGGCGGCCTTGGAATCATGGGATTGAGCGACCTCTGGTAGGTCAGAGAATCACGGGATTCACTTAGATCGCTGGCAGATCTTATAAGATAGAAGAGAAGGATCGGTAACCACCGCAAGCCCAATGTCTTGCCGAGCAATACAAAATTACATTGATAACAACCAGAATAAGTGTAGATGATTATGAAAGTGAATGGCATGTAATTTTGAACGTGAGAAACACATTGATACAGATTGAAATGTTACTAATTCGCTTTTTTTAGAGATAAATATTTGGGTATGAGAATGGGAAGGCCAACCCAGGTGACTTCACATGTGCTCTGCCCAATGTAGGCCATATTTTGTGCATCGACCACGTCGCTAAAGATATTGGTGTATGTTTTCTTTTGGGGTCTACTTCCGCTGATCCAGAGTATTTTTGATATAGTACATTGATCCCATCCCAACATATAGAACAGGCTGTGTTACTAATGACAACAGCTTGCCACGCATACCTGCAATATACTTGCAGAATAACCCCACAGTGGCCTTCCCTCAATCCTGAACCCATTCACACTCTGGTCTTAGTTTCAGTTCCAGACAGCCGAAGAGAGTACATAATCTTAATACCACAAGATCGAATTTAACCCTCAATTTCCTCCACTGTCTTGACTTTGAGCTCGGCAATTCTCAATATAGTGTACTTGTGCTTGCTCTTGACGGTCTTTGTTTTTCTATTTCTCCTTTTCGTCTTCTCCTTGATCCTCATTGGTTCGGCTTCAGTGCCCATGACTCTCGCTCTGCATTCGAATATTCTCTCATCAAGATAAGGCGTTCCTTTCAACGTGTAATCTCTTGATCCAATACTTGAAGCGGTGTTGAGGCGGAGAACATCGCCAGGAACCACGCCGGGCATACGGAATGGAAGTCGTACTGTATCTCCTACAGTCACAAGGTAGGGCCGACTGTAAATGTGTGTGGTTATGAAGTGCGATTGTTGCGCAGTGAGGAGGGGAAGCATCTCCTTGACTGAGGGAGAAAGCGAGACTGAGGTGGCGGTGTAAGAGGGCGCGACCGGTGCCGAAGATGCGATTGAGGATTTCTCTGGCTTTAAAGATGCTGCAGATGATGGGCTAGCATGGCTGCTCTCGATGGGTGGTTCGACATGTTGTGTTGTAGAGTTGAAGAACCGTGCTCGGCTTGGTAAAAGGAAGGTGGGTGGAAGTGTTGCACTTGGTATCCGTATGTCCAATAAGGACTTTCTCATCGTTCTACTAAACATCTTGAGGTCGAGAACGTTGTATATTCGATCAAGTCTTTCGTATCTGAATTCTACATTGTTGAACTTGTTGAAGCTTGAAGCTTGATGACTAAGCGAGATTTTATTTTTGCGCTAAGAAATTTGTTATCGATAATCATGAGCCTCGACCTAATAATTTTTTTGAGCCCGTAAAATTCCACGATCACCCATTATTAAAATTCATCATGGTACGTCTGGAACTGTTTATCAACACTGGAAAATACTAATTGATTATCAATAGCCTCAAAATGAGTATATGGAAAGATGGCGCAAGCTACATGGTCGCCGCCTTGACCATGAAGAGAGATCGAGAAAGAAGGCAGCAAGAGAAGGCCATAAAGCATCTGATGATGCCCAGAAATTGACTGGTCTCCGTGCGAAATTGTATCAACAGAAGAGGCGTCATGAGAAGATTCAAATGAAGAAGCAAATCAAGGCTCACGAAGAACGAAATGTGAAATCTTCTGCGCCAAACGAACCTTCGACCAAACCCTTGCCACAATATTTACTCGATCGATCGAACCCTACCAATGCTAAGGCTTTGTCGAGCGCAATCAAAAACAAGAGAGCAGAGAAGGCTGCTAAGTTTAGTGTGCCTTTACCTAAAGTCAGAGGTATCGCAGAGGAGGAAATGTTCAAGGTGGTGAAGACTGGAAAGAAGACCGCGAAGAAGAGCTGGAAGCGTATGATCACGAAGGTATGCCATTCTGATACATTCATGAGTAGCAATTCAACATGTGACGATATGCTGATGTTGATTTTCTTTAGCCAACTTTCGTTGGTCCCGACTTCACAAGAAGACCTGTCAAATATGAGCGATTCATTAGACCTATGGGTTTACGTTACAAGAAGGTATGTTCTTTCTACTGCGCTCAACCTGACGGAGATTCTAATTATGCCCAGGCAAACGTCACTCACCCAGAGCTCGGTGTGACTGTACAACTACCTATCATCAGCGTCAAGAAGAACCCACAGAACCCAATGTACACCCAATTGGGTGTTCTCACCCGGGGTACTATTGTTGAGGTCAACGTGTCTGATTTGGGTCTGGTTACAGCTGGAGGAAAAGTCGTTTGGGGTAGATGGGCACAGATTACTAACAATCCTGAAAACGACGGATGTGTTAACGCGTAAGTTTATGTCCTTCCAATAGAGTTTACAGAAACTAACTCTTCCAGTGTCCTTCTCGTCTAAAAACTTCCTTCTGTCATTAAATCTGCATTCACGCATGGTGTTTAGGCGTTGTCAAAACGGAAATGAAGAAAGGCTAGTGTGATCACTTTCAAATCTAGATGAAGGAGGCTGGCTGTACGCCGCTTGGTCAGCAAAATCCAAGTAAAGTTAACATTATAATAAGAATTTATTTTCAAATGATTTTAACATCAAATCCAATTTAGTCTATCGATAAATTATGTAATAGATTATGTGACTGTTGACATCAGGATTTAACGCGTAACCACTTTAGGCAACCTAGGTAAGGCCTTTATTGTATCCCGAACATAACTTTCGCAAGGCATTTTGTCAACCTTGAACACAATCTCCATCCCAACATACAACACCATGCCGTTAACGCCAGCACAAATTGAGGCAAGGGAGCTTTTAGCACCTATCAAATTCCACCAGATTCTCAGACTACCGGCAACAGAAAAGCACGCAGAGCTCAAGGTATCCTATGCCATTGCAGGACCATCAGACGAGAATGCGCCGACTATTCTCTTTGTTGTGGGAATGCTAGGAATCAGATGGCTGGCATTCTCCTTTGATCATGTAGCCATGGAAGAAGGAGTGAGAATGATATTTATTGACAGGTGGGTGGTGACATTGCCCTCTATGTTGCAGGGTATTTGTGTATCGTCTGATCCTTGCTGCGCTCACCATTACGTTGTCCAGAGTCCAAGTATATATATAAATTTGTGCGAATTTGTGGCCAGTCTATTGAAGACACCCTCATTTCCAATCTGACGTTCCGAGTATCGATGAGCCCAGTGGCTCGTAGATGATGAGTCGCAATATCAGTCAGTTAAAGAATTCAAGAATGGCTTGCCCATGAAGCTACGAAACTATCTAAACTAATGCCTCCCTAGACCTGGTTTCGGGGGCTCTACCTCCGTTCCACTCCAAGACCGGCTGCCCATATATCTTGAGACTGTTCCTCTTCTCCTCAAGCACCTGAACATTGAGCATGTTTCTCTTGCAAGCCATAGCGCCGGGACTATATATGCTCTCAACATCATTGCCACTCTCCCTCACATCATCTGTCCAAAACGCCCCAGGATCACCCTGCTTTCTCCTTGGGTTCATCAAAACTTGTCATCGACAACCTTTCTTCAGATTGTCTCAAAGCTTCCCAATACTATGATTAACCACTGGGGCTCGGTTATGAATTTTGTTCTGAACAGCGCTACGCCAATGATAGCAAGTTCAGGGTCGGTCTTCTCTACTTTAAAATCTTCTTTTTCTGCTGCGGCAACTGGGGCTGCATCCCAGATGGCGGCCGAAAAGAAGGTTCGAGAGGCGTACGGTGTATCGAAAGAGATAAAAAAAGAGATGGATAGTCTAATTTTTAAGTGGGCATTTTTGGAAGATACGACAGGCCTAAATGATGAGGCTCGATTGTGTTTGAAGAAAACAGATGACTGTAATTGGAATGCTTGCGAAGATTACGAAGAAATGGTTAAGAACTTGGTAGAACTGTGGACTCAGAGAGTTGAAAGGAATCAAAGTGCCCGGCTGGATGTCAAAATTTACTTTGCTGAAGAGGACATAATGATTGGTGAGAAGGGAAAAGAATACTTCCTAAATTGTTGGACTAGCGAGAATTGGACTGCGAATATCGCAGTGGACTGTGAACAGTTGAAGGGTACAGATCATGACAGTGTCTTGGACCCTCTCAGGAGTCTACAGGAGATTGCAAAAGCAGCGAGACGGACATTAGATTGAAGGGCCAATTCTGACCCCTACGACAAGTGACATTCTCACCTGGCATTGACAGAGAGTATGGGCGCTATAGGCATTGTATGAGCCCATATGCACATATCATTAGACTTTGAAATAAATTAATGCATGGGTGGAAATGTTTTCGTCGACTATGGCACAGGTGTATCTTATTGAAAACATAATAGAGTAAAGAAACGCCTAATGGCCCATGACCTTTCTCTAATCTATTAAGCCTTGGATGCAACAATCTCTGTAGCTGGATTAGTGTTTGTCAAATATCAACAGTGAAAAATTACATACTCTCGACATCAGCAACACTTTGCTGTAAAATTTGTTGCAAGACCTTGGGGTTCTCGAGCTCCTTCTGGATCTTGGAAATGATGCTTTCTGAGAGTTCCTTTTGTTGGCGAATCTTGACTTGTCCCTCGTATCGGACCCATGAGTCGAGAACAGACTTGGCCTCAGCAGCGAGAGCGGTTTGTTGCTCGAGTGCGTAAGCCTTGGCCTCGAGTTGTGCGGTTTCCTGTAAATTACGTTAGTAAAACTTCCCGCAATATTCCATTCTCCACAGCCCATCATACCTTGGAAACCTCGAAAAGTGTCTTGGTGATATCAACAACGCTGCCCAATTGTTGGACGCTCTCAATTCTAGTCTTGACGGCCTCAGTGTGGTCTGCACGGGCAGCATTCAAGATGTTCTTGATCTTGTTGACTTGACCAGTGGCCCACTCAGAGTACAATGGTCCACCGAACTTAATGACAGATCCCCAAATGCTCAAAAGGCAGAACATAGCAACGGTTTCTTCGTTGACGACATAGTACTCGTTGCTGAGGGCGTACAGGGAAACTCCTCCGGCTGCGGAAAGAATGGCAGTCTTGGAAACGAGAGAGTTGCCTGGGAGAGAGTCAAGGAGCGATTGCGCCTTCTTCTTAGGGTCCTCTGCTGGTACATTGGAGGAAGATGATCGCGAACTCGAGATCGATGTGAGGGCCGGGAGGGTACGGGAAGAAAGAGCTGGTCGAAGACGAGCGGCCCCTACGTTTTGTCAGTCAATTGCGACCAGTAGCAATTGTGGCATATTTCTCAAATCCATATGTGTCACATACCTAAGGCGCTTCTTGTCAATAGTCTTGATGCCATTTTGATATGAGGGGAGATATTGTACAGCAGCTCAAATTGCTTGAAAGGCTTGAGACGAGGTTCTTTCGGAATTCGCTTCCCACCTCACTTTGAAGTTTCTTAGGTAAGGGTGCCTGAGGATCTAACAAATATTTCTGGATTATCTCGATAAGAGAAATAAATTTCTAGAGAATTGGCAAAGTACATTCCGTCACATATTTAACAATGCCTGGCGCAATTATTGATTCGAAACGCCCTTCAAAAAGGAAGAGAGCTGTGTCAGAAAAAGGGCCTTCAAAACGGGCACGATCCGAGGATAGTGAAGAAGATCCACAGGCGCAAATTCTCCTCCTAGAGAGCGAAATCTTCGAGTCGAAGAAGCATTATAACAACATTGCAAGGCTAATTGGCATTGCACGAGATGATTCTGAAGGTGCCGATGCGTCAATTCTCGCCGCGGTATCGTTATGCCGGGTTTTCACGAAATTGATAGTAGTTGGGGGTTTACAGAAAACCAAAGAGACTGCTGTGAAGGACGCGACTGTGATCCAATGGCTCAAGGAAAGATACTCAGAATACAAGATTATCCTTCTTGATATGTTGAGCCAAGAAGATACCGCATCCACGGGATTAACTCTTTGCATGAGAATGTTGAAGATTGAAGGGCAGCATCTGCGAAACGGTCAGGATTACTGTTTTCCTACAGACCTTCTTACGGATATAGTTCAGGTTCTCATTCGTCCTGGGAGTGATAGCATTGCTAGGAAAGAGTTCAGTGACAAGTTTGTTGAGGAATACGATGATGTTAGATTTTACACACTTGAAGCTATAGAGTAGGACTGCCTTCTTACTACATATTCTCAATTACTGACATTTATTTAGAAAACTGGTTACGGCCTCCGAAGCTAGAAACTTAGGCAATGATTCATTTGATACCGTCTATGAGATTTTAACATCGATATCATCAGTCCCTGAATCTAAGGACGAACTCGAAGATTTTTACATTCCCGCACCGAAGAAAAAGTCGCACGCACTCTACTCCTTAACGGAACATAAGAAGCGAGCGCAAGGAGCATGGTTAGCTGTGATGAATATGGAGATGGTAAAAGAAAGAAGGAAAATGATCCTTTCGAAAATTACCGATTTCATTGCGCCATGGTTTACCAAACCCGAACTTTTAATGGACTTCCTGACCGACTCATACAATTCTGGGGGATCAACGTCGTTGCTATCACTCTCTGGTGTCTTTTATCTCATTCAAGAGAAGAATCTAGACTACCCATCGTTCTATAGAAAGCTTTATTCGCTGCTAGACACGGGTATTCTGCATTCGAAGCATCGCTCAAGATTTTTCCGACTTTTGGATACCTTTTTATCATCAACGCATTTACCAGTAGTACTTGTCGCAAGCTTCATCAAGAGGCTCTCCAGACTCACGTTACATTCCCCTCCATCTGGCGTCGTTGCGGTTGTGCCGTGGATCTATAATTTATTGAAGAAGCACCGAACGTGTTTATTCATGATCCATCGAGAGACTAGAGGGGCTGAAGCGAAGAAAACTTTAGAGGAAGAGGGGCTCTCAGATCCATTCCTGATGGAAGAGGAAGATCCAATGTTGACCAATGCAATCGACAGTAGCTTGTGGGAAATTGTCACACTGCAATCACATTATCATCCCAACGTTGCAACACTTGCCAAAATTATTTCGGAACAATTTACCAAACATTCATACAATTTGGAGGATTTCCTGGATCACTCTTACGGAAGCGTAAGTCAGCATATACCTTGTGTGCAGCGGATTTACTAACAACGTGATATAGATGCTTGAATCCGAGTTAGCGAAGGACGTGAAGAAGGTGCCAGTTATTGAATATGAGATACCCAAGAAAATATTCATGAAGCATGATGCAGATGCTAGCTTGGAAGATTCCCTACTTGTGAAGTTGTGGAACTTCAGTTAGATTCTACGAAATTCAGTGTTCCTAACTCTACATCGAAGTATCTTTGCAAAGGTATCGTGAAAAAAAGGCATTTCTCTATGTAATCACCGAGAACAAATTGAAGGTGGAGCAAGACTAATGAAGGGGTTCATGTAAATCTCACATACAATTTCGAAGTTGGGCTTCCTCGTTCAACAATAATAACGGAGAAAATACTCCTTTTACCCCTCAAATGTCTATGCCCCTTGAAAACTACATAAATAGCGACGTTTATATTTCAGGTATCACAAATAATTACTTGACCTTCTTAAATCACCTGTGCAAAGAGCTTTGGGAAAACAATCAGAACAATAGATCGATATGTCCTTGCGTGATAACCTTGCATAGAATACTAGTCCAAATGCGCCCCTTTCCACAGCATAAACAATTCAAGCATAGACATCCAGGAACTCAAAAGATCTACGGCAGCGACAATCTGCTATTCTGCGACAGAATAAGCCTTGCATACCTTGTAATTGAATAATACCTAGGTAAGTAATGGCAGCCATCCTTGGCAACCGTTGCGGCTGGAAAGCCACACACTGCCATATTCATTCAGTGGTAATTTCATTCAGTCATCACAAGGCTATATACGCAGACAATACTGTTTCTATTCCCAACAACAACCTCAGATCTTTGAACTAACATGACAAAATGCCTCTTCTTGATTTACTAAAGAAAAAGGATAGAACCGCAGGAAATGATGCGCATTCTCCACGCGCCGATCCAGAAGCTGGTCCAGTTTTCACATTCATGAGAAGTGTAAGCCTGCTGCTACATGCAGCGTACCAACTTCTCCCTCACTGCTACAACATGGCTAACATGACACAAGGATACAAATACACAAGAAGTAATATCACCACCAAATGTCTCTTCTTCGGAATCATCCCTGCAACCCTCGGTGTCAGTGAACAAACCGAATAATGAATTGCGAACTAGTCGATTGTTTGGAGGACGGCCCAGGAGCAACTCGCGCGAATCGGGAAACTCGGGCACATCTGGCGCATCGATTTCTTCACATGTTAGTGATAGATCTACGTTGAAATCAGCGCACAATAGTAAAAGAATATCAGAACGTTTTGGTTTGCGCAAGCATGAGGTAGGATCGTCGCATGTTCCCAGTGATTTACCGGAGATTACAGTGGAAGAGGCCGCGATAGGTGATAGAGATGCGGAATTACAATGGGAGAAGAGAGCTACAATATTGGCACAGCAGAATGAGAGGTCAATAAGCAGACCAGGCTCATCTTGTGGCAGTCCACCAGATCATAGGAATAGGAATTCTGGATAAATTCCGAGGGCAATAAGTCCGGGAAGAAATCCTTCAGGCGTGGTTGCTAGCAGAAATGTGGACGATGATCTCCAGGAAGCTATTCGACTTCATGAGGAAGGGCACTTAGAAGAAGCAACAAAGCTATTTGAAATATTGGCAGACCCTCATGGTGCCAATAATGCTCTTTCTCAGGTCTTATATGTAAGCTCTACTTGGTTCATTTCTATCACAATTTCACCTGACGTAGACTTGGTGAAGCTTTAGCTAGCCCACCAACTCTATCAACTTTGTTTTCTTGGACCTTGCCGGACTTGCCAACAAAGATTTCGGTCAGGGACACACTCCGATCCAATTGCTAATATTCAATACAGGGTCTTGCTCTCAGGTACGTCAAGACGACCCTTTATGCGGCCTATATCACGCCGCCTGATCGAGGAATCAGTCGATCTCTTCTGAATCTGATTGTTACCATTTCGGGGTTTAACTAACAATATAGACATGGCTGGGGATGTCAAGCCAGTCCAGTCGAAGCCGTCACGTACCTTTCGGCAGCAGCATCAAATGCAGCAGCAAGTATGTACCTACCCTGAGTATCCCGTCACGTTTCACATAGGTTCCTATCTGTCATGATCTCTCATATTGGCATAGTGCTGACTTCGTGGACAAGTCGAGGAGCTTGCGCTGCAATCCGGAAAAATGAAAGGGGGAGCTGCCAAGGGGGAGCTTGTCATTGCGATTTATGAGCTAGCAAATTGCTTCAGAAATGGTGAGGATATTCCACTGAGTTGTCAGCTATTTTCTGGTAGCTTCCTGCCACGATTCAATTATATGGGAATGATTTTTATACACCCCTTGATCGTCAACGGCAGTACCAAAAAACGAATTTCCTAATCAAGTAATACTGACATTTTGGGTCTTCTCTAGGCTGGGGGGTCAAAAAAGATCCAACAGCAGCTCAGAAAGTGAGTGGATTCAAATCATTGGGTCGCGGAGAAGCCCGCTTGTACATTACTAACGTCGCTGTAGTACTACCAAACTGCTGCAGAACTTGGAGATACAGGTATGCATAAAGCTCTGGCGAAAACTCAATTATCAGGCCATTCACTGACATTACCGTAGATAGTATGAATGAGGTGAGCCTACCAAGTTGTCCTTCCTACTTTGAAAGCAAAAATTTGCCGACAGTCATGTCGGGCTAAAATGCTGTGGTACATAGATTCTGATCTAGGCAACTAACTATTCATCACAGGTTGCACGATGCTACTTAGAAGGATTTGGTAAGCGTCTTCATGTCTCCCCAACAACCAAGTTCGACCTCGAGCTCGTAATCTTCGCGTTTGCCTGATCTAATATACTGACCACTGCTCTCTCCAGGCTGTAAAAAGATAAAGTAAGTTCGCCCGTGGTTCGCCAGAACTTCCCATCCATCCACTCAAACACCAGTTTCGGATCCAACAAACAACTACTGTGGCTTGCGCTGTACGCATGGTTCCCTTACGTCGCATTTTGGGCAGCAATGGGGCCACCTTCATGCAACTTCAACCGAATGCTTAACCCCTTGCAAACTCTCGAAATATTCCTAGCCAGTCATAAGATGAGGCTGATGGTTCTTTCTGGGTATGGTTTCCGTTACCATTGTCAGTGCTAACTCAAATTTCTTGCAGTACCGAGCAGCGTACTATCTTCGCAAGGCCGAAAATGCGGGTGTAAAAACACTGGGCAATTCTTGGTGAGTTTTCCCTTTTCATGTTTGGACCCAGTATTTGCAGAAACCCCCTCTGGAAATTTTCCGCTCTGTATGAAGTTCTTGTCTCAGCCTGGTTATCTTATGGTCTGTATGCTTTTCGGCGGCAGTCCCGCTCCCAGTCATTTAGTGATGGTTCGTTCGTTCATTGTTTTAATAAGTGGGGTACGACGATATGCGTCCACTACCTTCGTGCATTTTAGAGGTACATTGGTACGAAAAATCAATTGGTTCTCATTGTCTCTTCGGCAATGTCGGTTAGAAATGTACCCCTGTAAAGAGATGTTTGCTGATATTTATTGGTTACAATGAATGTAGGATTTGGAAGGATAAATACAATCCTAAGAAGTAAAATTCCAAATACGGAGGTTCTAGATAATAAGAACTGGGAGTGGGGTAACTCTTTGGAGATACTAGATACTTTTCTGGACGAACGACTAATGAGTTTGGTTCACGCGTTCTTACTTGTTTTCCTTCGCTAAGCTCCGGGTCGGATCGAGAGAACGAACGGTCTTTAGTTATTTTAGTTACTTCAGTTGGGCTAGGGGCTTTTCCTCGTGTATGGGCCTGGTATTGGGTAATACCATTCGTTGATCTTTGATTTCATCAAAATCGAAACGGTCACATTGAATTAGTGTCTGAAGTGGGCTGGCTGATTTATACCTCTATTAATACTAGTTCTATTATAAAATTTCAACATTCATCAACTAAACCTGATTTTAACTTCTCTTTTTTACGCCTTGGTTTATCAGGGTCTTGGCTTAGCTGGGTTTGGCTTTGGCTTTAATTTACTTTAGTTGAGTCTTGTGCTGCAGTCAGCATTTACCTAATTAAGTAATTAAGCATGAGCACGAGTGAATTCATCAGACAACCCCAAATTAACGCAGGTCAGGTGTAGTCATGACTGAGACATACAGGAACTGGACTCGTATGCTCACGAGGCTTTCGTCTTAGCAGTCTTTGTCGTGCTGAATGTCCACAGGTGGCACAGCACAGCAAAAGCTTTGTGTAATCCATTATGGCGGGGCGTCGAAGCATTGAATGGGAAATTGTTTCGAGCTTCAGTTTCAGATCTGTTGAGCTGCCTTATCTCATGCCTGATTTATTGGTATGTAGCTGTAAGTGGGTTGCATACTGCATGTAGTACATTGATCTACCACTGGGGTCCTGGCTTTTGTTCTTCTCTCTGAATTTTCTCATTCGTTCAAACATTCAAGTATGATGTATTCGCTCGTTCTCACATGGTACCCCCGGGCTCAGAGTTAGGACGTTTCATCTTTCAGTATGATGGTAGAGATCCAATCCGAAGAGTCAATTCGAAAGAGTTTCACTGGGCTATCTACGTACGCATGCGAGGCTGCGAGCGATGGGAAAGGGCGTCATATACGTATGTATTTCATGTATGGTAGGACAACTCAACGCCGCAGTGCAAAATGTTGGGTCGCTGCGAAGGTGGGTGGACGCTAAAGTGCGGGAAGGATGGAGGATTTTCATAGCGTTGTTGGAGGCTTGGAAGTGGCCCGGGTGTTGAAAAAATGTGATATGGCAGAATGGAATATGATTAGTATGACGGCAAGACGGGTTTTTGCAGTGAGCTTGAGTGATTTAAAATAGCCCTAGCAGTTTTTGTTTAAAGTTTTTCGATTACATTTTGGGCTTTTGTATCATATTGGGAGCACTAATTGGTGAGGGTACTAGAACCGTCTAAATCTCGGATCGGTTCACATCTTGGGATGAATGGGGCCCGACTATGAACGAATGAACGATCTGTGGCTGGGAATACGGCCACGGATGTCCGTCTCCTTTCATCTGGTCTAGCCGTTATGGTTTTACATCAACAATACGTATAATCCACGTGATTTTAGATTGAGTTGTGAAGAATTTTCGCCATTGAAGGTTTTTGTCATTTGTGATATGTGTAGGCACTCGTGAATTTTTGCATGGTGCATCTACATGATGGTATTCGCGTTTGGATTTGCATTTGTGGCGAACTCGAAGTTGAGTTGAAGAAAAAGGGTCTTGCATATTATGTCATGTATATGCCATGTACTGCTATGCGATGTTACTGTCATGTACATTGCCAAAATCACGGCAAATGGCTATGTATTGTGATGTTATGTGTATGCGTATGTAAGACCTAAAGAGGTTATAATCGAAGATACAAATGTTATGACATGTAAGTGTATGGAAAAGAAATCTATATGCTATGCTATGCTATGCGATGCCATGCGATTGCGATGCGATGCTATGTAAATGTAATGCCATGCGATTGTATACCGGATTCGTCCGCTGCTAAAACACTTATCTCTATCTGCTAGCGTAGACTTGCGGATCTCTGTCGAAGTTACGAAGCTGCGAGACAAAAGTTTGCAGTAGTATAAACATAAACTACATATCGCCTTTGCCACTCTACCTTAGAGGTTAGATGTGATCCCATTGTAAGCGGTGAAGAGTATCTACTGCACTCTACTGCGATCTACTGCAGATGTATTAGCGATAGTGGGGACCTCGATCCTCTCGCGTCTTGAGTCCTGAGTCTTGACGAGGAAGAATGGGAGCATTGACTCGGCATTAAACGGAGGGTAATGCGGCTAGGGTCTAAGTTTTGGAAAATGATGGTCTAGCGACGATGATGTACATGTATAGTATGGTATCTACATGCGAGACAGGAATACGAATTGAGCGATCTATACATTTACATGCATACATACATACATACATACATCTCCATTACCATACAGCACTAGCATCCGGAGCAGAGTAGTGGGTCCACTGGTGGGAATCGGTTGAAAGACACTACCTAGCTAGGTAAGTCATGAAAAAGATGTGGGGAGAACTCACCACATGCAGGAAATGGAGGTCCACAAACCCAACATGACCCTTGGAGTGAAGAATTTTACTTTTTTATTGAAAGATGAAACACCACGGTATTTCACGGGGTAGAGAGTATGGGGCGAGCAAGAAACAAGTGTGTTTTTACAGAAATGATGGGGTAATTATTGGACGAAACGTTTTCGAGAACCTGGACGGGAGTGGGGAGTGAAACACTTGGAAGGGAGTGTGTTTGATTGGCTGGTAGTGAAGGGTCATTGGATCGCCCGGTTTAACAAGTGGCGTTGAGGGAAGGTAGAATGTGAGGAGAGAACTGGTAATATTGTGGGGGAATGGAAGGAGGGAGAGAGGGAGATTTGGTTGTTAGGTTTTTTTGAGATCAGAACATGCTGATTTGATGCTTGTTTGGTGGGCACATGGTGTTTGGTTCGGAGATATCGATAGATAGAAGGAACGATAATCGGAATTTGAGTAAATAAACGAGAAAGGCACGGGCAAACATGGAAACAAGAAATTCCATCATGACTGGCCAAGTACATGTTTACAGAATCCGGGGGTGAAACCAGAAGAACGAACCTAAGACAAACCTTGAAAGTCGTTCAAGCAACACAATCTACAAACACAGCAGTAATTAGTCACAAACAAGTACTTGTATCACAGTCATTACCTAGGCATCATTGTCACTATCACATCAAGCAGAGGGAAGAATTTGAACATGAATCTCATGTATTATTGACTATTTTCCTGCGTGTTTTTTCCTATCTGATTGTTCCATCTCATCTCATCCTACGGTATATGTGGAGTAAAGTCAAAATTAAATACAAAAACTTGAGTTTCTAAACAAGTAACTCATCCCCCCATTCCATGATAGACAACACAAGGCAAAAAGCAACAGATAGGACCGAATTAGGTACAAGAAAAACAGTCCCTTGAGATATAGAAAATACTGCATCAAAATGACATATCCGAAATCTGTAAAGGAGATTTTTAAGAAGGAAAGCCCGATGATCTGATCGCAATCGGCCGATGTGGTGTGTTTTGGATCTTTCGATATCTCTTCGATAATACCGCGAGGTAGATCTTTCATTTCTCTTCATTCATTCATCAGTCATGATTGCATGTCATTGCTCATCGTGAGTGAGTCTTGGAAAGGAAATCGCGAGTGATCGTAAAACGTAAAACATTCTGAATTGGTATATGGATAGTATAGGATAGGATGTATGTATATGCGAAGATAGTCATCGATTGTGTATTTCAAAGCAAACGCTTCAATTTGGACAAACTGGAGAGGGGTATTTGCGTATAGAGTGTATCTTTATGTCGTTGGTAGGTATTGATTAAAATAATATTCATGAAATAGTTCGTGATAACCGTAGTCGTAATGAAACTTTTGAGTGGTAATGTGTAAGGAAAAATTGGTTTGCTAGAAATAGCTTGTGGTGTGCGATGTGTTAATGCGTAGAGTAGTACCACCCCCCTTCCGTTCCAATGACCCGTTTCCAATCCAATAGAGATCCATCTCCTCCGAATACCCATCCTCCATCCCCATCCGTCCAATTTACAAAATATATGTATTCCCATTGCTGTCCAGCTGCGATCTGATGTTCGTCTTATGCCTGGCGAAAATAATAATAATCAATATGAAATTAAGAAAAAGTCCCAAGTTTGATGACCCGTCGCTAACTATGATCGATGATGACGATGATGCAGTAACAGAGAGAGAAAAAAAGGAGAAAAATGAAAATAACCATCCGTAAACCATAAAACCATTAAGCCATAAAATAGAAAATTCAAGTAAAAAAATTCAAACGCTCGCTATTTCGCTCATTAACAAATTGAGACATTAAGAGAAGATGCGTGAGCAAACAAGTCTCTGTTCGCAATGAAGCCGTAAAATCGTAAAAGCCGTAAAGTTTTTATTCCAAGAGTAAAAAGAATTTGTGTGTCGAAGTAGAGGTTTTTTGGATGACATATTTAGGTTTGAAACTTGGAAAAGTTTAACACCGATGAGGTATCGCACTCTTCTGGACCATTCCTGGAATTACATTCCGAGACCAACTTAGCAAAATTCCTGACAACCTCACTTGGAACTTGATCCCATAATAATGATCGAGTGTAAACCTCTGCGGCCGATTTCTTGGAATTCGATCGCATGGCAGCAAGTGATTCACCGAGATTCTTTCGTCCTTGAGATGTTGATCTTGTAGCGGGAGAATTGTCGAGGAAATCTTGCGAAGTCAACCCATTGTATTGTGCGGCAGACAATGAAAAGAGTTGCTCGTTGTTTTGTTCTTCTGTTGGTTGCGAAAGACTGTTGGCAAGATCTCCAAGAGTTGATGATGTGACGCCGACCATTTCGTTGCCTCCCAAAGAAGGGTTTTGAGTAGTCGACCAGGAACCAGATGGGAGAGGTGCAATTGCGTTTGTAACACCAGAGACAGCAGAAGCGGATTGTTGAATGCCAGCATCCTTGAACACGTCTTCGAGAAGTGTTGCAGATGCAGCACGAACATCATCCGACATTCTAGGAATGCTAGGAGAAGAACCCTTTGAGGCGACAAAAGCACCGACAAGGAGCAACATCAAGAGGAGGCCTTGGGCAGCAGGCTTCTCTGGCTCGCTAAGAAGGGAAGTGTCGACCTTCTTGGCGGAAACCATCGAATTCTCAACCTTAATCTCACTTTCCATGGAAAAGTCATTAAGGAAGGAGATGTTGTCCCAATTGCCATCCATGTTCAGACCATCAATGTCAGAGTAGTCGGCAGAGAAGCCAGTCGAACTGGGAACAGTTGACATGGCAGTGCTTTCCATCTTTTGCATGTGCTCTGTGAGGACGCTCACTTTCTTGCGGAGGTCGCCGGTTTCGAGGGTGTGAGTTCGCACCATCTCTTCCTTCTCCATCTGCAAGCTCTCGATGTATTGTTGGTAGTGTTGCTCTTTACGAGCCCACTCATCCAAAGCAAGTTTTGCTTCGGCCAAGTCCTCCTCGAGATCGTTAATCAAAGCAGTGTAGTGCTTCTTCTCGTCCTCAAGGCGCTCAGTGTGCTGCTTCTTTCGTTGACGTGAGTCAAGACTATGAGAAAGATTAGTCAATGGATGTAAATAATGGACCATATGATGCACTTACGCTGCTTGTCGGTTTCTCAACAAACGTTTTTGCTGCTTGAGCTCCTTAATCTCCTGCTCATCGGTGGATTGAGAGATGAGTTGATCAATGTTGGTGAGATTTCTCTCGGCTGGAATATCGAAACGGGCATTCTTCTTTCGGATACCATCACCCCTTCTAGACATCTCAGGATGCGATCGAAGAGTTGGGCTGTGTGGGCGCATACGCTTTGGAATACGATGATCCATCTCTGAAACGGACCAGTCCTTTTGTGGAGATGGATGACTTGAGCCATTGGCGGAGAAGAGAGGTAGTTGATGGTTTCCAGGATTTGTGAATGGTGTTTGCACGGGACGTTGAAAGATAGGAACATTGACCTCATAATCAGATGGAAGCCCATCATGACCTTGCATTGGTGTGCTCATACCCGAACCATTTCCCATGCCCCAGCCGTGATTCGAATGTCCATATGTTGCGTTTTGTGCAGCCTCGATACGCATGAATGGGTTGTTGCTGTTGTGCTCGACAAAGGGATTGTTGGATGCCATTGGTTGCATGTCGACGTGTTGCCATTCATCAGCCTTGGGGGAGAACAATGTCGAAGATACTGCAAAGGATTCCCGCCTGCTATTATCCATGGGTGGAGACATTTCTAAGCCGGAATCTAATGCAGAGTGATCGAGGATGTTATCATCAAGAATGCTTCCTTCGTCCTCTTCAAAGTAGTTATGGGGTTGAGTATCGACAGATAATGACGATTGTCTGTAGTAATTGTGCATTGGGAAGGCAGCCATAGCAAAGAAGTTCCTGCTGTGGTCTGTTGTGAGGGTGGGTTGGTGATGTGGTTAAGGAAGAGGGTGGGTTTGAGGGAAGCGAAGTTATTTTCGGATGAGATGGGGTAGAAATAGATAAAATAGTGGCGGTGAGAAAAGATAAATGTTATCGATAGATCGTCAACGATCACGAAAACTTGAATTATCGGGGTAGGGAGGGGATATGAAAAAAGACAATTTCGTTTGGGGCGGATTAATCAATGAGATGATTGAGTGAAGAGTCAAATCACTTGCTGTGTTTTTCTGTCAAAGAAAAAGACAAGAATAACAAAGAGGTGACTGTTTATGAGGATGGTAATGTTTGATATGAATATTTTGAGGTAGGAATTGGGTGGGAGATGCTCAGTTGATATGTGAGGGACAAGAGTGGTGGTGGTGTATGAGTGGGTTGAGTCTGGGTTCCGATGTAATTCGGGCGAGACAAACAGCAGGAAGGGATTGTATGGCTTGATCCGAAGTGGAGAATGGAGGTACAAAAGACTGTAAGAAGTCTAAGTCTGTTGGGTCCCTTTTTGGTTCGAGTGGTCGTATGGGTCGTATGGTGGTAGGAGTGGTAGTGCAGAATTGCAAGCAGTTGCAGTTGCAGTGAAATGTGCAGCAAGTAGTAGAACTTGAGCTTGCAGTCGGTGCAGCAGACAAGAGAAGTAAGAAGCACGTTAGAAAAGTAGGTCAAGTATGCAGGTAGAAATAGAAGAATGTAGTTGGTAGATATGGGTTAGATAATGTGGATATCTTGGGAGAGGGGTCTGGAAATCTGGGAGAACGGATAATGAGGTGAGGTGAGGGCATGAGATGGATGGGTCGTCGCGGATGATTTTAAAAATAAGGAAATGGATAAAATATAATAATGATGGGGATAATAATAATAACAATAATACTAATATAATAATAATGGGTTAATGAATAATGAGACATATATGATAATATCCTTCAAGATGCGGCTTTCTTCTTCTTCTAGCTCTTCTAGCTCTTCTTAATCTACATTAGTACGATACGACGATACTACGATACCACCATACTACCATCCATATTACGAGTGCTTGTTTTTGTCTATTTTCTTTTTACCCAATCCTTCACCCATGACATGATATGATACTAGGTATAAGTACTTTTGGAGGGGAACAGTGAAGGGGTGAAGGGGGGGGGTGATGCGATTAGCATGGTTACGAATATGGACCCTTCCTTCTCTTTTCTCTCTCTCTCTCGCTCTCTTTCTTGTGTACTATACTTCTTTGAGTAATGCGTCGATAGATGAATGGGCCAAATAAAGTATTTAACTTGTAATTGAGTAAGTGGATGAAATGATGGGCAATGGGCCATGACAGCGGGTGGGGAAAGAGATTTATCGTACTACCCGAAAGTCGAAAGTCTCAAGGAACCTAGAGATCAACTTGTGGAGACTTTCTAGCCTTTGGATTTATGAGATACTTTATGCTATTTCTTCTTTACATACATTGGTATGGATATATGGATGGCACTTTAGTCTTGATTATTTAATTATTATATACTGCATTTCATTATTATTATTTCTTTCCCCTCTTCCCCATTACTCTATTTGTCAAGTAACGAAGTATATCTTCATGGGTCTGTCTAGGACTGTCTAATCACCTCTTCAAGATCTCGATGATCTATTGTTCGCGATACGTAGATTTCCAACTCTGTGCACCCGGAGGATATCGTTAACCATATGGAAATTGTGTGCATGGGGTCGTACTTTACGGTACGATACACTCACACACCAGAAGAAGAGAAAAGAAAACAAGACTACCTACTCCTTTCCCTTTTAGACTAAACCTCGATTCCAGCGGTATGAAAGCGGGAAAGGCAAGGCAAGTGCGGGTGCTAACGATTAGTGCTTGCATTTCCATTGCATAGCAGCATGATAGTGCCTACTTTTACATCTTGGATGTAAATCTTAGATGGGAAAAATAAATGTCCAAGAGATCCAAAGAAGATAATTGATGCTCCATTAAGCATTCATTACAAATTGCATTTTAATCCAAGGCAATCGAATCTTAAGATTTCCCGCTCAAAGCCTTGAATAAGTTGCATTTGATCAGTTGAACCCGAGCCCAGGTAAATCAAGATGTTGCATACGATACGGGAGTGAGGGATGATATGATGAGGGAGTGGTTCAAGCTTTGATTGGATTATTCATGCCCTTCTCCGAGGTAATGGATTAGATCTGACAGGCTGACTGACTACTTCAACTACCTAGAGTAGATTACAATCATTAATAATAAGGTTACTTTGACAAGAGAAGCTCGATAGACAAGATAGAACATACATCGTTCCACTATTAGTCGACATTCGGTTATCTCTCTTTTCTTTTCTTTTTTTCTTTCTGTCGAATATTCCAAAAAGCGAGAGAAGCATTCGCAAAAGGGCAATAAACCCGTTAGAACTTGCTTGGTCTTAGCAATTTATACTTCGAAATGCATTTACTATTACAATTTACCTTGGTAATACAGTAGTAGAAAAACATTAGACTACCATTTTTAGCTTTGGGGGGGTTGTCTTAGAACCCTGATCTAATTGTGTGAACTAACCATAAGAGAATTCAGATGATTTTTCTCCATCAACCGCTTCCCGCTCTCAAATTCATCGTCCCTGACAAATTATCTCGACTCGATTTGTGTGAAAAATGGGCACTGGATCAAAACAATCCATCTCTAATTCTCTATAACTCTTTGAGAATTGCCCATGGGAACGCAAAGTCAACATGGTTGTCTTGGCTCCTTCCTATTCCCTGCTCTCATCAGGTTGGGCATCTATGGAGTTATGCTTGATTCTGAAGGCTTGCATCAAAATCCTAAAAAGAAAGCCGCCGATAGGTTATATCCTCACGTTTTGCATACGATTGTTTCTTTACCCTTGCTCATCGTTTCTACACTTTCTCATCATTGGAATAATCTGTTAAACTCCGGCTTCCCGTTGATACCACCAGGGCTTGGCTCGTAACGAGAAAATGATGGTCCTTGAGCACCAATCAAATGTTTTGAGGCAATCGGTGATACCCTCGAAAACGATCACTTCAAAGATCACGCGTATTGCTCTTGTGGGAGGAAAAAAGCCCTTTTGGGGGTATCATTTGTTTATTTTCATCATCTTCAGGCAAGGGAGTCGTTAATTGATCCTACAATTGTGGCATTTTCCCTTCGCTTAATCTTAAGATTCCCCTTCATGATCATCTCACTCATGGTCGCTGCTGATCAAACCATCTAGATCGTAAATAAAGCACGGGTAACGGATGGTAACGAGGTAAACCGTAAAAGATGTTTAGATGACAACATCAAATAAAATGCCTTCTTCGAATCTCACCTCACACCACCATCTCCACCTTTTTCCCATTTCTTGGGCCTCGCCATTCGGCAGCAAGTCCATTCATTCACGACTCATGAATACTTGTATTCTCACTATACTAGGCCTCCTCAAACGGCCGCAGAATGCAGTATCTTTGTAAGAGTGTGAATGTGAAGCCTCAAATGATAGGTGATATTCCCAGGTTCACTTCTACCTAATCTACCTAATCAAATGATCGTAAGCTCTGCGTGCCCAAGTCAAGGTAGGGCAAGCAACTCATTGGTAAATCAAGGCCTCAAGTCTTTCGGTAGCTTTCCGTGACACAGATTCATACCATTCATCACCGCACAAAGATCCAACCTCATGGCCTCGTCTCCCGCTACCTGGAGCCTGCCGGCAGGCACCTCACGGAAAGATGGACGGGTACGAAACCGATTTTCACTTACTGCTATTCAAAAGAAGGCCGCAGGGTTCAATCCGGTACCCTAGTGTCTGTCATTTCAATCGGTGAGAGCCCGAAAGCCTAGCAGCCCAGTTCCAGCCCTTCCTAAATTGAACTGCCGTTACTATACATCTTGTCTCTTATAGTACGGAGGTATCGGTAAATCACCTACCACCCCTAGTCCTTAGGAAAATGATCTCTTAGGGCGCATGAATGAGTTGCGCGTATGACGGCATTTTCAATCTTGTTTCATTCTGGATATTTTCCCTTGAGGAATAAATTTCCCGATGGACCTTCAGGACCTCCCTCCTCTGTGAAGTGGGTTTGACCCTAAGGAACTCCCCAGGATGAAGGGGGTCTAAAGCTTTAACCGACTACGATTATGCTAGTAAAGACACTTCTAAACTTTCTTCTAGAATGTCAGAAGAAGACCGAATAAACTTCGGGTAAACAATTATATTTCATACATAATCCTCTTTTTCTTAATTGCGAACAAAAATGCCCAAATGCTATTATGCTACACATAGCTGAATCCCATCTAGAGTACCTGGGGTCCTGGATGTACCTGAGTGGGGTGCACTTGGCTTCTTTTACGAGTAGGCGTTCCAGGTTTTGCTTACACTGGCAGTCGCGCCATGGACGCGTTACAATTGAATCATGATCTTATTGTTTTTTCTTCTAAGTTTCGATTGGAAGAATTGAGGGGGCTGGGAATTTTCTCACCCATGATTCATGATTATCATATTACAACAGTTATGATTTTCAAAAAGCGTTTGTTAGGTGAGATAGTGATGGAAATGGAAATCGAGATTTCATCTGATTCAAAATCTTCTTCTTCCATCAGAAACGCGGTATCCTCTGTAATTCTCAGCCCACCTAAAGTGTATCTTTCATCTTGGCTTCTCCAGACCTTCAAACCTGTCAAATGGGACTACCCGCGCAGCCGCGGCTTGCTTCCTCCAAAGCTACAGCCTCTTCTTACTACACAGCTTTTTAGTCTTATATTTACCAATTATCTAATGTTTACCAATGACCAGCTTCCAAGCCTTTCCAAAAGTTTCAAAAATGTCAAGGTTGAGGCAGAATTTCCATATAATTTTCATACGAATTTTGGTCTTCACATTCTTCACCGCTCATCTATTTTAGGATCTGATGTCGAGATCCGGATGTTCCGCTTGGGATTCGGGAAGCGAACATCCAAAGAAAGACCCAACTTTGAAGGAAGAGAAAAGAAGAGCAAAGCCACTAATTACGAAGTGTACCAAAGTACTGTCCCATGAGAATCTTAAGAAAAGTGAAGCCTGATCTGAGAAGGATTGTCGGTCTGTGTTTCAGACTTTGAGGAATGATGCAAGCCAGAGTCAGTAGCTACTGAGAGTCAGGTTTTCTTTCTGAGGGATAGGCGCGGATTGCTTTGAGAAGGGTCTCCTCGAGGGCCTCGTATATCTTTCCATTTGATATGGGCATGGAGGGGAGCCAGATACAGGTCTATTGAACCGTTAGAACAATGCAAATTTGTCTAACATGAATCAAAATATGCGGTTCTAACTTACTCACGAGGCATGTTAGCTCCTCGCCTCTCCCTGACATTTTCCACCTTTAGATTTACGACCTCTCCGACTACATACATGTGGATCTATCTGCCAACCCCATAACAGGTGTCCCATATTATAACAAGTGCTCTTATATAGACCAATGACGTACGTACAATATAAGTTTATCGTGTATAGATCGCCAGAACCCCGACGGATAAAGTATAATTTGACAATTTCACTAAATAATAGAGCATGAATAACAAGCAAATTACGAAATGCCAAAGTGGGTTCATCCGATCTGAAGATTTCGAAACGAAGCTCAAAGCTCGAAGAAAAATCCCCGAGATTCGCCGATTAGATTAAATTGATCAGAGGATTTTCGGATTTTCGCGAGTTATCGTATCGCATCTACCGGTATCGTACTTGTCGGCTTTAAGTGTTGTGGGTCGTGTTGGTTGGGGACGGATGACAATTTTTCTTTCTCAAATGAATTGATTGATCGATCTTCCAAGTGGGATGGATACATT